ATAGAGATAGTCATATAAGCAAAATGCAAACTAATAAAGTGAGACAATAAATCTAAACAGTTTAATTTAAATAAATGAATTGAATAGGCTAATGGAATAGGAGTTCTTAAAATTCTTTCTACTAAAGATATTAATTAATTGACCAAAGAATTTAATGAAGCGTGCATTGAAATTTTAGTTAGAACATCAAGTTCCCCTTGTTGTACTTTTTCTTTAAGATATGATGTAAGGTAAAGTGTTATAGTTAAAGGTAAATTATGATTTTCAGGTATTAGAATAAGTTTTTTTTCTAATTTTAGGTTTTGGACATTTTGGACTTATCTAAAACTAGTTTTAGACTAGTTCAAAACTTAATTAGATAGTTATGAATTAGTTTTGGACATGTCTAAAACTGTTCAATTTAATTAATTAATTAGACATATCTAAAATTCATTACTGACTTATAATACAAATCTATAATATAATAATTATTTTGCAATATTATAATTATTCTATATAGAATAACTATTTTGCAAATAATTATACAATAAAATAATTATATATCATAGTTTAATTATAATATTATAAAATAATTATTATATTATAAACTTTATTACAATTATTTATAAATTTTATATTATGAATACTGATCAAATAATAACATATTAGTAAAAAATCAGATATCTTAATCTTTATAATAGGTATTAAATTTAATTAGTAAAAATCAGGTTACTAATCAAATAAATAATATATAATTATCAATACTGATAATTTCTTTATATATATATTTAATATTCATATACTATTTGATTAAAATTATACTTTTTATTATATACAGTCCCTAGCGAAAAGAATGGCAGAAACATATTTCGATAATATGTACAAACTTTATTTTAATGTATATTTTTTTTTATTATTTATAAAAATAATACTAACAACAACTTTTATATTATTAATTAATATTTGATGTATCCTTCTTCTGCATTGATACATACTTTAATCCAGCTTGGCATGCTCTTGATATACCAAAGTAACATGGCATCATCAAGATCATCCTATTCCTGCCAGATTGTATTAAGAAATATATCGCAGGTAATATTTTTTTTTTGCTACTAAATACTTGATCTTTTTTTCCACCTTTCCCTTTAATACAGCCCATACATTTTTAATAGGGTTCAAGTCTGGGCTGTATGAAGGCTAAGAAAGAACTCGTCCTGAAAGATGTTTTTTCAAGTTTCTCTGAACATTGTGTGAGGAGTGTTTTAGATCATTATTTTGTTGGAAAACCCAGCTGCGTCTGTATAACATATTCACTTTGTTATACAGATGATTGTCTAAGTTTTTTTGATACAAATAACGATCCAAATTTTCAGTAAACAAATGAATGCTGATTTTCCTTTAGCACTAATCGCTGCCCAAACATGAACCTTGAATAGGTGTTTTACCATAGGGGCAATTGGTTGTGCATTATAAGACCATGTACACATGGTATTTCTAAACATCTGAAGTGTTGTTTCATCAAAAAAAAAACTTTTTTTCAGTTATATCGCGAATGATCACGTGCTAAGACAAATGAAAATCCTTCACTTTTTAGGTCAAGAGAGGAACCTTTCTTGGATTATTGAACTCACAACGTATCGTACGTTCACTGATATCAAGGTTGAGATCTTTTTTTTCCAATTTTGCCTTAAGTTCGCCTGCTATTATAAAATGATTATGTTGCAGAATTTTTCCAATATGGCAATGTTGATTTGAAGCCAATTTTCTTGGACGGCTAGAAGAGTGACCAATAGAAATTTTGCCAGTTTTATTTAGTAAATTGACATATCGTTCACATGTATGCAAAGAAATGCACAATCGATTAGAAATTTCCTTTGCATTACGTACTTTTTGGTCTCAAAGTGACTTAACAGAATTTCTTTGTATTTCTAAAGAGCTTGGCATAGTTTCAGAAAGGAAATCAAAATAAAAACAAATAACAAACCTTATTTTTTTTAACTTACCTTTTTAATTCAGGTTCCAACGTCTGATTTGAGCATATAAACAAATGCCTAAATCTGGAAAGTGGTGAAACTGCAGCCTAAAATAGATGCGGTCTTCCACCGCCATTCTTTTCGCTAGGGACTGTATATACGCATATTTTATTATAATATTATATACAATATATTATCCTTTCAAGCGTATTGCAGGCAAATTTTCCTGCAATTTTATTTAATAATTAAAATTATTTATAATAATTAAAGATGGTCCTATAATTGTTAATTACAGTGTCTATCTTTAATAATAATTTTTAAATATTTTATAAAATTTCCTAAATAAAACTTAAAAAATAAATGTAATATTTTAAAGATAAATATATAATAAATTAGTATTGAAAAAAAGTTAGAAATATAAAATATAATCATTTAATAGGTCTTAATAAGATGAAATCAAACAAACTAAATTTTATTTTTTTTGTAATTATTAGATAATAAGTTATTTTAAAGAATTAAAAATGAAATATATTAATAATTACTAATTTTATACCTACGTTTTAAGGGATACAAGCAATAGATACAGTACAACAATCATATAAGTAATTTAAAGCTATATATCTATATAATAATTTTTATTTTTCTTACTAAATTTAATTATCTTCTGTCAAGCGGCACGCAGATCATTTTCCTATTGTACACTTTTTATCTTCGTATCATCAATGTCGTGAAATTTTTACATAACTTATTTTTTCTCTAATGCTATCAGATAGACAAAGTAATGTATGAATCTATTAAATAAATTAGTAACATAATCTATATTTAGATTAAATTCGAAAAATAAAATAAAATAATTAAATTAAAAATATAGAGGAATTAAAAAAAATTAAATATTATTTATTAGAACGCGCGATTATAAAAAAAAAAATTTTTACATTAAAAAAAATAATTTAAAATAAAAACCCACGATTATATAATAATTTGTATTTTTTTTTTTAATATCCTCGAACTTTTTTTTAACAAAATTAAGAAAATTGAGTTAATTAAAAAAATTTAAATTTATCATTAAATAAAAATATTAGAGTTAGAGTTGGATTATTTATCAATAAATTGTATTACTTATTTTAAATTTTGATATTCTAAAATCATTTCACGCCATATTAGCTATCCCCCGGTATACAATTATATTGGTTTATTTAAAACATGAATATTTGTCACATTCGTTCATATAAAATCTAATTCAACTTCCACTCCATATAGTTAGACACTTTTTAATAATTGTAATGTGTGATGTGCTGAACATTATATATGACCAAAAATAGATTCGATTTTTATATGATTATAGATTAAAATTGATTATCGATTAATTCGTTTTATTAGAATCGATTCCAATCCTTAGTTTGTTATTACAGTAGTACAGTATTTTGACCGTTAATCATTAAAAAGTTGGGAATGATATAGACAGAAATACTTTGAACGACACAAACGAAATCCAAACTTTTGAATTTAAATTTTTTAAGGATTGAATTTTTTCCTTTTTTGTTTGAATTTTAATCTAGTTATGGAAAATTATAAATTAAATACCGGTACTCTGCAAATCATGAGCGGAGTTAGGTGCACAATTAATATCTAAATCACCAAATTTAAATCTAAACCATTGTCCTTCATCATTGGATATTACTTTTTCATCTTCGTCAAATAAATTTTTTTCTACAAATAAAACATTATTATCCCGATCCACAAGTATAATAGTTGATGTACGTGTAGCATAGGATCCACCCCGATCATGTTTCTGTATTCTAATTGAAAACGTTGAATAATTTAAATAATTTTCTTTTTCAAGGAGACTCGTCGTCATTGGTTTGTATGGTACACTAATACTTTGAGAAATAAGGAATATTAAAATAAATTATCATTATTATTAAAAAAAAAAATTTATTTTTACCTGAGTAAGTTAAATAAACGATTCACAAGATCAGATTCGTTAGTAGATTCTTTAAGAATTGATTGCATTTCATTTATACCAACAGCAACTTTAGGCCAAGGATTTTCTAGTCTACTATTACTTAATCCATAAATTTCACCTTTATTCAATTCTTTAATTCCAATATTTCCTCTATTAGCTAAATAATTAATTGTTGGTATAGGAAGACTTAAATCTGATGCAATCAGATTAAATCCACTATATTTATCAGACCGATTTAAAATACTTTCAAATTGTTCATGTAGAGGATCTTCAGTTTCAAGAATTGATCTAACGATATTACCACGAGATAATAATAATTTTGGTGGTGGATGATCATCACGATAATTTGTTAAAGCTGCAAATTTACCATAACGATTTATTCCTAACCAAGTTCCCTGATCTGATGCCAATAAGTCGAGACCTGATAAAATATTTGGATTCCACCAAGATGCCAATAGAGTCGGTCTTTTTAAATATTCATCTCGATTTGCTGCAAATACGCTAAAAAAAAAAAAAAATATTTTGAAAACTCTCAATTTGTACAACATAAAAGATGATATATATATACATACAATTTGTATTTTGGATGATTATCAACAGTCCAAAATAGGGTACACATAATTAAAATAAATTTCTTTGGGGTTAAAAAATTTCATATGAAAGGAGACAAACTTTGGGTTAAAAAAAGGTGGGAAAGTAACAAATTTATATAAAATTTTTTTAATGTATTGTGTCATCGGCTTAATTTAGCATTTATATAATTGAGCCCATATGAAAATTTGAAAGCAAGTTTATGTCGATCAGTTTTTTTTGGGGGGAAAACACCAATTTTTTGTGCTTAGCATGTTTAATTTTTTTCCCGCCCCAATCATATAAGCAAACTTTCTTCACTCAATTCGTTTTTGTTTATCTGCATCAATAATATAAACTACATTGCCCCAAAAGAAATTTCATCCCCAATGAATTATCTGGTTTTTATAATGTTATCTTAAATCAACATAAAAATATATATACACTTGAAATTTCATTAAATAAATTATTTTTTTATCGTTCTTTTTACCTTTTTTTTTTTCGCGTTTAAAATGGCAGCACATTCAACAATTCCTACGACAACGATTTCACCAGGCTCACATGATCTAAAAGATAAGCCTAAAAAATGGCATATTAGAGATGATCCGATTACATGGTCGAATTGGTATAAACACATCAATTGGTTACATACACCATTACTCATTTCTATACCATTAGGAGGTTTCTATGGGTTATTCACAACTCCCATTACGATGTATACTGCAATTTGGTCTGTCATTTATTATTTTGTTACCGGATTAGGTATCACTGCTGGTAAATTTTATCAATTTATTTATTTATTTTTTTTCTTGAGAATTTTAATGAAAAAACTATTTACAAATGCCAGATCAATGGTGTTTTTGCATTTGTTAAATATTTAATTTTATTAAATTTAATGATCTAATAATTAATAAATTACAGGACATCACAGGTTATGGGCTCACCGTGCATATAAAGCGTCTCGACCATTTGAAATATTCTTAATTTTTGCATCATCTGGTGCAGTAGAAGGTTCAATTCGTTGGTGGGTCCGTGATCATCGAGCTCACCATCGATACACGGACACTGATAAAGATCCTTATAATGCCCATAAAGGTTTATTTTATTCACATCTAGGTTGGATGATATTAAGACAAAATCCAAACGCTATTGGACGAGCTGATATATCTGATTTAAATGCCGACCCAATGATAAGATTTCAACATAAATATTATGGTTTATTTGCTATTGTTATGGGTTTCGTGCTTCCTACCCTTGTAGCTGGTTTAGGTTGGGGTGATTATTGGGTAAGTGATGAGAAATCACGTGATTTTCTACAACCACGCGGGCAAAAACTTAATTCTTATTTTATTATAGGGAGGATTTTATTACGCAGCATTACTTCGTATGACGTTCGTACATCATGCAACGTTTTGCGTAAATTCATTAGCACATTATTTAGGAGATACAACTTTTGATGATCGACATTCTCCTCGTGATCATTTTATAACAGCGTTATTATCACTTGGTGAAGGATATCATAATTTTCATCATGAATTTCCACATGATTATCGTAATGCTATTAGATTTTATCAATACGATCCAACTAAATGGTTAATTAGATCTTTATCATATCTTGGATTAACTTATCATTTGAAAAAATTTCCTGAAAATGAAATTACAAAAGGTAAAATTTTTATGAAACAAAAGAAATTGGATGAAGAAAAATTAAAGGTTAATTGGGGTAAAGAAATTTCTAAGCTACCTGTTTTCACATTTGAAGAATGTTAGTATTCTATTATTTATTAATGATTTTTTTCTTTCAAAGAAGAAATTAACTTTATTTTGTTTTTTTATATCAAAATAGTTCAAGAAGCAGCTAAAATAAATAATTGGATTTGTATAGAAGGTATCATTCATGACGTTTCACCATTTTTCGATGAACATCCTGGTGGTCGTTCGTTATTAACTACTTCAATAGGTAAAGATATGACAACTGCTTTTAACGGAGGTGTTTATGATCATTCTAATGCTGCTAGAAATTTAATGGCGACTTTTAGAGTTGGTGTTATTGCTGGTGGTGGAGAAGTTGAACTTAGGAAATCAAAATAACTGCAAATTAATCAATCAGAAGAAACATTTATTAGTTGAATTTATAGTTTGTGTATATTTATACAACAAAGAAATGTTTATTTATGATGAATATTTTATTTCAATCTTAAAGAAAACAATTAAAAGATATAGTGTATCAAAATTAAAAATAAAAATTTAAATAATTCGTTTTTTAATAAAAACAAAAAGGATCATAGTAAATTTTGTATCTATCTCGAAATTTTAAGTGAATTTGTTTTGAAAATTTATAATGTATTTTTTTTAAAAAAAAAGTAATTTAATAAATTTATTAAAAATAATATTTTTTATAATAAATATAATAAATAAATAAATATATATATATATATTAAAAAAAGTATTTAATTAAAAAAAAAAGTTGTAATAAATTTATTAGAAAAATATAAATTATATCAGAGGATATCAATAACTATCCCTTTGTATCATGTGAATTGTTTAATATTAAAATATTTGTCACATCATATCATATCCTCAAGTTTCCATTTTTATTATTTATTTAGAAAACAGTTTTTTTTTAGTGACAAAACCTTATTTATCACGCATATATATTTGTTACTGTTAAAGTTAAGGTTAGGATTAGTTAGGGTTAATTAGAATTATTTGGGGTTAGGTATTAGCATATTATTAGGAAAAGCTACTGATATCCTCTGATATGAAATAAATATATTTAATTTATTAAATGTTAAATTAAATTATTAGATATAATTAAATAATTAAAACATAAAAATAGTATTTTTTTTTTAATTAAAATTTATATAATTTTATATTATATAATATGAATTCAATATTTAATTAAAATAAAAGTAACTAAAAAATAACATTATAATTTATTTATATTACTTATATACTTTTAAAAAATTAGTTTAAATTCTTTTTAAAGATATATTAATTTTAAGGATTTGTAATATAGGTTTAAATAATAATATTAGAAAATGTTAAAGTCACTCAAATTCAAACCTTTGTTTAATAACTCCTTTCATATTAGACAAATAAAGAGTAGTTGAACAATATATATTTTATCAATTTGATTAGTTTAATTTGATCATATGATTTACCATTAGATCCATTAGATCAGTTATATTTCATCATTAGATTAGCTGTGTTTTACCATTAAATCAATTGCATTTTACCATTAGATTGATCATAATTTTTCATATATAAATAGTTCACTTTCTTAATGTTATACTAAAATTCTATTGCATAATGAGCAGTATTAACAATTTTATCATTCTAATTACATGAATTGGATAATTAGACATATAAAATTAATATGTTCAATTCAAGTTTTACTTAGTCTAATTGCCAATATTGATAATGGATTTCTTTGTTATATATATACTTAAAGAAACAAAAATAATTATTTCAGATAAAGTTATAAAATTATTGTCTATAATAATGCTCTAAATGGTTCAGTTCAGTCCAGATTATAGGCCAATCCAAAATCGAACTGAAAATTTTAGTTCAGTTTAGTTCAGATTATAAATCTTAAAAATGCTAATCTGAAACTGAACCAAATCGTAAATTGGTAAAAATCTGAACTAAACTGAAAATTTCAGATTAATCCAAAATTTTGGATTGTTTGGAACAATAATTTAATCGTTCCAAATGAACGATTCTTTTATCGTTTGTTTGGAATGATAATTTTATCATTCCAATTGAATGATTTTCTTATTGTTCGTTTGGAATGATAACTTTAATCATTCTAAATGAACGATTCTTTTATCATTCTTTTGGAATAATAATTTAATTGTTCTAATCGAACGATATTTTTATCATTCGTTTGGAATGATAATTTAATCATTCCCTTTATCGTTCGTTTGGAATGATAATTTCATCATTCTAATTGAACGATTTTCTTATCATTCGTTTAGAACGATAACTTCAATCATTCTAAATGAACGATTATTTTATCATTCTTTTGAAATGATAATTTAATCGTTCCAATCGAACAATTTTCTTATCGTTTATTTGGAATAATAATTTTAATCATTCCAAATGAATGATTTTTTTATCGTTTGTTTAGAATGATAACTTCAATCGTTCTAAATAAACAATTCTTTTATCGTTCTTTTAGAATGATAATTTAATCATTCCAATTGAACGATTCTTTTATCGTTTGTTTAGAACGATAATTTAATCGTTCCAATTGAATGATCCTTTTATCGTTTGTTTAGAACAATAATTTCATTATTTCAATTAAATGATTTTCTTATCATTCGTTTGAAATGATAACTTCAATCATTTCAATTGAATGATTCTTTTATTGTTCGTTTGGAATGATAATTTAATCATTTAAATCAAACGATTTTCTTATCGTTCATTTAGAATGATAACTTCAATCGTTCTTTTAAAATGATAATTTAATCATTCCAATTGAACGATTCTTTTATCGTTCGTTTAGAACGATAATTTAATCATTTCAATTGAATGATCCTTTTATCATTCGTTTAGAACGATAATTTCATCATTCCAATCGAACGATTTTCTTATCATTCGTTTGAAATGATAACTTCAATCATTTCAATTGAATGATTCTTTTATTTTTCATTTGGAATGATAATTTAATCATTTAAATCAAACGATTTTCTTATCATTCATTTAGAATGATAACTTCAATTGTTCTAAATAAATGATTCTTTTATCGTTCATTTGGAACGATAACTTCAATTGTTCTAAAAGAACGATAAGTTCAATCATTCTAAAAGAACGATAACTTCAATCATTCTAAAAGAACGATAAATTTAATCATTCTAAATGATCTGAAATTTTGGATTAATCCGAAATTTTCAGTTCAGTTCAGATTTTTTTCAGTTCGAATTAGATTTATAATCCGAAAAAAATCCAAACTGAACTGAAAATTTTCAGATTGAAATTTTTGCAATCTGAAACTGAACCGAAGTTGATCTGAACTGAAAATTTTTGGATTAATCTGAACTGTTCAAAGCTTTAGTCTATAAACTGTTATCAGTTTCATGATATTTTTAATATAGCAATACAGTAGCGGTCATAAGTATCCGACCGCCTCTAACTCCGGCTACAAGTAAGTAAATTCAAAATTTTTTTTTTT